CCGGAGGCCGTGTACTGCTGCCAGGGCCTCTTGCCTGTCTTTGGTGCTGCCTCGTGCCCCAGACTTCAGCTCCGTGTCCTGGGCTGTGGTCCAGATGTGGCCATGGGAGACTGAGGGCGGACCTGTTCCTGGGTGCATCCTTCATCTCAGTCTCCTCACTGAGACCCCTCGTGAGTGCTTCCTCCATATTGTTCCAGAAAACCCATCTTCGGCCACTACAAACCAGACACCTTGGCTGTAGTCGTTGAAAACGGAACTGGCACCAACAGACAGGTTCGCCGTTCTTCCTTCGGAGGTGGCACCTTTGTTCTTAGCTGAGGGTAGACTGGTCTGAAAGCAGACGGGGCTGCGGCCCAGCAGGCTGCTGCCCTCAGAGCCGCTGAGAAGGTTCTGGCTCCCTCAGAGCATCTGCCTCCAGGGCTGGCGTGGCTGAGGGCACGTGCAAGCCTTGAGGTTTTCCCGGTAGCCCCGACGTTGGCCCCCACAGTGTCCCCTCCCTCCCCAGATCCTGTTCCTGGACCTTGGCACTGGAGCTGTCCTGTGTAGCCTAGCCCTCCCGAGCCTCCCTGGGGGTCCACTGTCCGCCAGCCTGCCGACCGCAGACCACCGCTCAGCCTTCTTCTTCTGGGGCCTCCACGAGCTGGGCAGCACCAGCGAGACGGTACGGGAACCGCCCTCGGAGCAGCCGTGCTGGGAGCCAGGGCCAGAGACCCAGCCTTGGGCTCCACCTGGGAGTGCCCGGAAGCTAATTGGTGCCTGGGCAACCTCAAATAAATTGAAGTCCAGTGACAGTCAGTCAGGACGAGGTGGTGCCAGCTGAGGGAAAGTGACCTTAGAGGAGTCCAGGGAGAAGGGGCTGGTGGCCTTCAGTGGAGGGGGGCACACAGCCGTGCCCTGAAGGGAGTGGATAGGGGGGCACACAGCCATGCCCTGAAGGGAGTGGGATAGGGGGGCACACAGCCATGCCCTGAAGGACGTGGCCGCTGGCAAGGACCAGGGTCAGGACCAGGTTGGGCGGGAGGACCTGGGAGGTGGCCACAGAGCTGGGGCTGGCATGTGGGGACCCAGATAGGGCCCCTAGTGAACAGAGAGCTGCAGGCGTGGTCACTCTGACAGCAGTGTCCTGTGGGAGTGCTCAGTGAGGGGCGTGGGACCCATTGCTGGTTCTTGCTCCAGGAGACCGGGGAGGCCCGGCATAGCCTGTACATGTTCCACCCTACCCTGCCCCGTGTGCTGCTGGAGCTGGCCAATGTCTCTACACACATTGTCGCCTTCGATGGTGAGTGCGGCCTTGGCCAGGGACCCGGGTGTTCCGCGGGGTCTGTCCTGGCTGGTCCCAAGCCGCCCTGACAGCTGTGTCCCCCACCCTGCAGCTGTCCTGTTTGAGCCAAGCCGCCATGCTGCCTACATCCTCCTGACAGGCCCAGCAGACTCAGAGGCACCCGGCCTGGTCTCTGTGATCAAGCACAGGGTGCGGGACCTGGTGCCAAGCAGCAGGGTGGTCCACCTGGGTGAGGGTGAGCCAGACAGTGATCAGGCCATCAGGGACCGCTTCTCCCGGCTGCGGTACCGGAGGGAGGCGTAGAGGCACGCCCGCCAGAGCCTGTGGGAGAGACTCCGCCTGCTGACACTAAACGTCCTGGGAAGTGGGCCCCTTCCTGGGTCTCCGCACTGACTCCCCCACTCCTGACCCTGGTGATGGTCGCCACTGGGCAGCAGCGGCCTTACCAGTCCTCCATGATTGCACCCAGGGACGTGCGTGGGTGAGGGGACACCCTGGGCCTCTCTCCCGCCCAGCGTCCTCCCTGAGTCCCCACACACGGTCTCACTCTGCACCCCACCAGGGTCCCGCTCACACCAGACAGCCTTCATAGTGGTCTCTCTGGGCCCCCTTGCGCAGAACTGGGTCATGCAGCACCCCATCCTTACCCAGTGCCCTCTCCTTGCCAGCTTCTCCCCAGGCCAGTGCGTAGAAGGAGCCAGGGTGTCCCCAGGGCAGGCCGTCCCCCACCCCATCCTGTAGAAATCCATTCCCCCTTTCCCTCCTGTGCTCCGTCTCCCAAGGAGTCATGGAACTCAGGGTACTGGGTCCTGGGGCAGCCTCAGGGCCTCAACGGGAACCTGAGACAGCTCCAGCTTCCCAGCCCTTCCAGGAGCTGCAGGGGGATCCTCTAGCATGGGGGGTGTGACTTGGTTCCTTTGTCCAGGCCCTGTGAGGAAGCCCCCAGCAGGATGGGTGGGGCCTGCTCTGGAGCCGAGCCCGCGGCTGCTCACAGGTGTCCTTAGTGGAGTTGCAGCCGTGTGCTGGCTGCACGTGCCGTGAATATCCCGAGGGACTGGCTGTGGGATGCGTGTTTGGGTCAGGCTGTGCCCTCTCAGTAGACACTGGAGCTGCTCCGTCCCTGAAGAGGCCCCGTGCCCCAGGCATGGCAGGCACCTCGCCTCTCCCTTTCCGGTGCTCACACGCCCCGCCGTGTCACCTGATGCAGGACTCACCTCTGTGCCTTGCTGCTCCTGAGGCCCAAGGGCAGCCGTGGTGCTCTGTGCTGCTCGGACCGCCCAGGCCACAGAGCCTGAGCTTCGTAGCCAAAGCAGCCTGATGACCCACCCACCAAGGAAGAAAGCAGAATAAACATTTTTGCCTGAAAAACCCCGGTGGTCAGGCTGAGCCTAGCGTGTGTGCGTCTGCCTGTCTCTCTGCTCCCTAAGTAGTCAAATGGATTTGTTCCCAGGGGCGTGACCAGGAATTTGCGGGCCATCCTGAGTCAGGGTGGGGAGGACTGCCAAGGAGGCGAGCACCCCCACCCAGACCTGCTCAGTCAGAAACTGGGTGCCCAGCAGTCTTGACAGCCTCAGGGCGTCTCCGGTTTGAGGACCCCTGCCCAACAAGCTGGTCACCCTGGCCCCATGCAAGCGGGTGTGCTGCCACCTGGAACAGACGGTGGCCTCAGCACCGCGTGACATGAGGGCTGGCTGGAGTCCAGACTGAAGCCATGATGGTAGGGCCGGGGTGAGCTCTGGTGACCAGGCAGGCAAGAGGAGCCCAGGCAGGGGCTTCCCTGAGATGCAGCTTTGGGTGTGGCAGCAGTGAGGGGCAGGCAGGTATTTTACAGAACCCTGCAGGAGTGTCCCGCGGGCATGTATGCAGGTATGAAAAGCCCTGTTTTATAGCCTCACAGGTATAACCTTGTTGCTGTTGCTCCTTGCCAAGGTGTGGGAGGGGACATGGGGGCTAAGGTTGGACAGGTGGGTGCCCTTGTGCCAGGAAGCTATTTTCTTGTCCCTGAGAAAAGTAACCCAGCACACAAGGCCTTGAGTATGAAAGGGCCATAGGGCTCTGGGGACAAGTCCTGTAAGAGAACTGCCAGGTGGGCAGGGTAGGGCTGGAGGGAGAGGGGAAGGTTCACTGGGGTTGCAAGAGCTGCCCCCTGACAGCATGGGAGGGAGTGCAGGGGGTCCCCAAAGGGAGGGGACATCCTGCAGGTCACAGGAGCAGCTGTGCCCCTGGCCACGGAGGGGTGGGCAGGGCCATGAGCCCCACCCTGAGAAGGAGGAGTTGAGGGACTGGACCAAGGGGTGCTGTTGCTGGTGGGCAGAGGTTTGCCTCCCTGCAGTAATAGCCTGCACCCCTGGACTGAAGAAGCGATTTTTGCCCTGTAGTCACTGCGGGCCCTAGAGGGTCTGGGCCATGCCATGCCAGGCACTCTGGAGTTCTGCAGCCTTAGGGCAGGTTGGGGACAACTGCCCCTCCCCACAGGGATCCTTAACTGAGTTTCCTCACTGTTCCCCCTCTGGAGGGCAGGTGTCCCCACACACTACCCTGCTCACCCTAGCCTACCAGAGTACAAGTGCCCCTGGCTGTCTCCTCCCAAAGTCCAAATGCCCCAAGGCTGCTGCCTGGGTCTGAGAGGGTCAAGTCCCTCCTCCACCATCAACTCCACACACCTGGGACCTGCCCCCTCCCTCTCCACACACTGCACACATCACATGCACAATACAGTCACGCATATGTACTATGCACATGCACACCTCATACATGCAATGTATGCCACACATGCATCATACACACTACACGTGCCCACACACCACATATGCATGCCTCACAGTACACCTGCACATGTGCACTACACAACCGTGCATGTGCTGTGCACACACACCACATGTGTGCCTCACAGTGCTACACATGCATCATACACACGCATGCACACACCACATATGCATGCCTCACAGTACACCTGCACATGTGCACTACACACAATCACACATGTGCTATGCACACACACCACACGTGCCTCAGTGCTACACATGCATCATATGCTCACGCACACCACACCCATGCGTGTGTCACATGCCCAGTCACACCACAAGCTGCACCGACAGCAGGATGGGCTCAGAGCCAGGGCCCAAGGGTCTTTTATTTGTGTGCTGGAAGCTGTTGGGAGTGACTGGATGTGAGCCAGTCCTGTGGGTGGGGATGGCACCCCCCAACCGCTAAGATAGTTGAAGCTGCACCCCTGAAAGGAGCCAGTTGTACCTTCACCCAGTCTGGGGGAGTGGTGGGGCACTTGGGGGATGGGGAGCAATGCCAGCTCACGAAGGAAGGCTTGGGCAGGGAGGATCAGGGACACCTGGCAAGGATCCACCCTATGGAATGGGGGGCCTCGCCTCGTCAGTGGGGTGACAATGTCAGAGTTGTCTGTATAAATCTGAGGGGGAGACCAGGCGCGGTGGCTCACGCCTGTAATCCCAGCACTTTGGGAGGCTGGGGCGGGCAGATCATGAGGTCAGGAGATCGAGACCATCCTGGTTAACACGGTGAAAACCTGTCTCTACTAAATATACAAAAAAAAATTAGCCGGGCGTGGTGGCGGCCGCCTGTTGTCACAGCTACTCGGGAGGCTGAGGCAGGAGAAGGGCGTGAACCCGAGAGGCGGAGCTTGCAGTGAGGCGAGATCGCGCCACTGCGCTCCAGCCTGGGCCACAGACTGAGACTCCGTCTCAAAAAAAAAAAATCTCGGGGGGAAGCCGTGGCCTCGAGGTGGAAACGCAGGTGCCGGCGCACCTGTGGACAAATTCTGGAACGCGTTTGGCGAGGGAGGAATAGGCGCAGCCCTGGAAGGCAGTGAGCTTGAGGCAGGCTCAGCACGGCACCCTCTTGGGTCCCCTTCCGGGGTCACACTGGGCGACAGCGGAGAGGCTCTTGGACGGGGCAGAGCTCGCACCGAGACCTGCGTGTCCGCATCTTGTGACGGGTGTGTGGGAAGCCACCCATCTGTGCATCTTGCTTCCAGGTATTCGCTGGTTGATTTACTGGTTTTAGAGATGGGGATGGGTACCCAGTGCCAGACTGAAGACCAGAGAAGGCGGAGCTCCGTGCAGCCTTGGTCTCACCTCTCTTCAGGTAACAGGTGCTGCCCTGACCCAAGCTGAGCCAGTGAAATCCTTCCGTGGGAATCCACACCTGGACCCCTTCCTTTTGGGCAGGCAGGGCTTGCTGGAGGGAGGGAGGCCATGCGCCCCACAGCAAGACTGGGCCCTCTGGGCACAAGGGGACACTGGTGCTGGGTTCAGCAGCCACCAGGACCTGGGCCAAGAGGGGGGTGGCTGGTGCATTCATAAAGGATGTTGAGCTGCAGGCACTAGAGTGGCAGATGGGCCAGGTCCACTAGGCCACCCCATTTCCTCCCCCAGGGCCACCAGCCGCTGTGGGCTCCACAGGGGTGGGAAGGAGTGCAGGGCTGGGGCTTGAGTGCCGTGGCCTCCGCGAGAACGGGAACACGCTGTGGGCGAGAAGGAGGCTGAGAACAGGCTGGCCAGCTGGCATCCTGCCCACCTCGCTTCAGGGGCCCAGCAGCCCCCAGGCCGGAGCCGCCAGCCACAGGGCACTGCCTGGGCTCACCGTTTCTTCGTCTCCAACGGGATCCCAGCCTCCGCCAGGAGGCCCTTGTACATGTCAGACTTCAGGAACCTTGGGTAGGAGTCCTATAAGAGACAGCGTCCAGACCCTGACCCTTCTGCCTCCTCACCTCTCAGCTCACCCCGAAGGGGCAGCCAAGCGTGGCTGGAACCTCCTCCAGCCGTGGAGTCCCCGGCAGACAGGGTGCTGGAGGCAGCCACCCCGGACCTGCCCAGACCAAGGCAGACTCAGGGAGACCTGAGCTCCTATCTGCCTGGGCCACGTCACAGCAAAAATAGCAAGAGCCCTGGTGGCTATGTGTAGAGCAATAAACCGCAGCACCTCCACAGCCATTACCAGGAACCAGGAATGGCTCCATGTTCCCCACAGAGTGAGGGCAGGGTTGTGGAGTCAAATAAAAGAACGAGGTAGGCCGTGCATGGTGGCTCACGCATGTAGTCCCAACATTTGGGAAGGCTAAGGTGGGCTGACTGCTTGAGCCCAGGAGTTCAAGACCAGCCTGGGCAACATAGTGAGATCCCGTCTCCACAAAAAAAATTAAAAATTAGCCGTGTTTGATGGTGCGTGCCAGGAAGAGAGCCAGGATGCCAGCATTAGGTGCCAGGGACACAGCATGAGGCTCAGGGGCCAGCAGCCACACATGGGGCCATGCGAACATCATGAAAGAATAATGCTGGTTATGGTGAAACCCGCCCAATACGGTGAGATCTGAGTCTGCGGTGCTCTTAACAACATCCAAACTTGGCCGGGCATGGTGGCTCAGCCTGTGATCCCAACACTTTGGGAGGCTGAGGCAGAAGGATCACTTGAGTCCAGGAGTTCAAGACTAGCCTGGGCAACATGGCAAAATCCCTCTACAAAAGATTTTAAAAATTAGCTAGGTGTGGTAGCTTGGAGAGGCTGAGGCAAGAGAACCACTGGAGCCTGGGAGGTTGAGGCTGCAGTAAGCCAAGATTGCGCCTGTCTGGAAATGTTCAAATATCAACAAAAATAAGTTAAAGCCGGACTCAGTAGCTCACGCCTATAATTCCAGCACTTTGGGGGGGCTGAGGCAGGCGGATCACCTGAGGCAGGAGTTGGAGACCAGCCTGGCCAACATGGTGAAACCCCATCTCTACTAAAAATACAAAAGTTAGCTGGGTGTGGTGGTATGCACCTGTAATCCCAGCTACTCGGGAGGCTGAGGCAGGAGAATGGTGTGAACCTGGGAGGCAGAGATTGCAGTGAGCTGAGATCGTACCACTGCACTCCGGCCTGGGCAACAAGAGTGAGACCCTTTCTCAAAAAAAAAAAAAAAAATACAGGCGGGGCTTGGTGGCTCACAGCTGTAATCCCAGCACTTTGGCCAAGGCGGGTGGAACCCGGGAGGCAGAGGTTACAGTGAGCCGAGATCATGCTACTGTACTCCAGCCTGGGTGAGTGAGTGAGACTTTGTTTCAAAAAAAAGCCTGGGTGCGGTGGCTCACACCTATAATCTCAGCGCTTTGGGAGGCTGAGGCAGGTAGATCACGAGGTCAGGAGATCGAGACCAGCCTGGTCAACATGGTGAAACCCCGTCTCTACTAAAAATACAAAAATTAGCCAGACGTGGTGATGGGCGTCTGTAGTTCCAGCTACTCGGGAGGCTGAGGCAGGAGAATGGCGTGAACCCGGGAGGCGGAGCTTGCAGTGAGCCAAGATCGCGCCACTGCACTCCAGCCCGGGTGACAGAGCGAGACTCGCCTCAAAAAAACAAAACAAAAAAAAACCTTTTTAGATCGAAACTTGACCCTTTTTAAGCATGTGATCTGGTCCAGTCCTTCAGCCCCTCTGAACCCGGTGTGTGCTCAGGACGGAACACTGACAGGACAGCGGCCAGGGCGGCCCCAGCCAGGTGGGGAAGGCACTCCCCGGGACAGAGTCATCGTGGGCAATGCATGTGCAGACAGAGCCCTCCAGGGTGGGGACATGGAGGCCTGTCTGGGAGGCCCCCTCCCGCCCCTCCAGGCTGGCCCAGCACCCACCTTCTTCATGAGCATGTATATGTGTAGCTGGGCGTCATCCAGGACGTAGCGGTGGGGCTGGCGCAGCCCTTCCAGGGTCCGCTCCATGGTCCGGCTGTCAATGTTGACCCAGCGGGCGGCACCAGGGGCCAGGAACTGCCTAGGGGTGGGGACAGCATTGGGTAGTCCTGGCTGGGTGCATCTGCCCGTTGGCCAACCAGTACTCACCACTCGGCACTTACTGGTACACAGCATCCACCAGGGTGGGGACCTGGGCCTGCGCTCCATAGCGAAGCTCCTCACATGCCTCCCAGAAGCTGAGGTTTTCTCCTGGGGGGCCGGGCACCCAGTCAAGGATACCATCGAGAGTGGCAGCCAGAGCCAGGGGGTTCCCAGGCTGGTTGGGCCAGGAGGGGTCCCCAGGGAGCTGGCAGAAACCGAAGCAGGAGGGGTCCCCAGGGACCTGGCAGAAACCGAAGCAGGAGGGGTCCCCAGGGAGCTGGCAGAAACCGAAGCAGGAGGGGTCCCCAGGGACCTGGCAGAAACTGAGGCAGGAGGGGTCCCCAGGGACCTGGCAGAAACCGAAGTAGGAGGGGTCCCCAGGGACCTGGCAGAAACCGAGGCAGGAGGGGTCTCAGGCAGCAGCCTCCCTGCTGGGACTGGAGTAGGGGGCTGGGGGGATTCTCACCACTGAACTCCTTTCCCAGAAAGTCCATGAAGTGGGCCCGCCCCACGGGGTCCTCCAGGAGCTCCCGGAAGCTGAAGCCCCATCTCTCCACACGGAGCTTCGTGGGGGCAACCACCCTGGGGGGAGGGCGGGGCTGTTGGGGACTGACCCTCCTGCAGCCCCCCAGGCTGGGAGCACACCCGCAGTCCCCCTGCCCCGCCTTGGCTCACGTGGGGGCGTTCATGACCCAGTAGGCGTCGTTGTCTGAGATCCAGGGGTTGCTGGGCAGGCACCCCGACACGAGGGGGTCGTGGGGTCCACGCTGGCTGCAGAAACTCAGGTACCTGGAAGGGGGTATCGGGGCTAGTGCAGGAGGGGCCTCAGGAGCCAGGGCACTCAGCAGGGGTCTCCAGCTGCCACCCCTCACCCCACTCACGCCTCAAGGCAGACGGAGGACTTCACTCGGGTCCTGCCCAGTGCTCTCCTGCAGTACTCGATCTAGGATGTGGGGCCTGTGAGTCAGGTCCTGGGCTGGGGAAGGCACCCGGCATCCTTCACTCGCAGTCCCAGGACTTACCTCCTGCTTATAGAAATCTGCACGCTTGGTCTGGAAGGGGACAGGTGGGCTGCAGTTAGATGCAGGTCCCCTGCTGGGGTCCAAAATCCCCAGCTGGAGGGCACCTCCCCAGGCTTAGCTTCTGCCCCATAGACCTGGCAGAGATGTGGGCCAGGCCCCCAGTCCCGCCCCTTGGAGCCCCTTCTTCCAATCAGGGATCTGACTTTCCAGGAGACCTCTGGGGGCCTAAGGTCTGGCGATCTGCAGAATATTCCACGGAACCCTGAGGTTCTCAAAGTTGCAATTGTGAGTAATATGTCATATTTTTTCTTTTCTTATTTTTTTTTGAAAGGGAGTTTAACTCTTGTTGCCCAGGCTGGAGTGCAGTGGTGTGATCTCGGCTCACTGCAACCTCCGCCTCCCGGGTTCAAGTCATTCTCCTGCCTCAGCCTCCCGAGTAGCTGGGACTACAGGCATGTTCCACCACGCCTGGCTAATTTTGTATTTTTAGTAGAGACAGATTTCTCCATGTTGATCAGGCTGGTCTCGAGCTCCTAACCTCAGGTGATCCGCCCGCCTTAGCCTCCCAAAGTACTGGAATTAGAGGTGTGAGCCACCAAACCCGGCCTAATATGTCATATTTTCAAATATATTTAAATTATGTTGTTAAACATTATACTTGAGAAGTACCTACTAATGGGAATCACTGGGGAACCAGGTGTGACTTATTGAGTTCATCGGTAGGGGCCTCGCTGGTGCCAGAGCAGAGGCGGCGGACACTCTGCGAGTCCCAGCCTGTGTCCCCGTCCCCGCTGTCTCTGACCAGCTTTGTATGGGGAAATGTTAGGGTCGTGAACTTAAGAAGTTTTATCGCCGGGCATGGTGGCTCAAGCCTGTAATCCCAGCACTTTGGGAGGCCGAGACGGGCGGATCACGAGGTCAGGAGATCGAGACCATCCTGGCTAACACAATGGAAACCCGTCTCTACCTAAAAATACAAAAAACTAGCCGGCGATGGGGGGGCGCCTGTAGTCCCAGCTACTGGAGCCTGAGGCAGGAGAATGGCGTGAACCCGGGAGGTGGAGCTTGCAGTGAGCTGAAGTCCCGGCCCACTGCACTCAGCCTGGGGCAGAGCGAGATCCGTCTCAAAAAAAAAAAAAAAAAAAAGAATTTATCAGTGAGGTTCTGTGCATCATTCCAGACGGTGGTCTGTGATGGGACTCAGTGTGAACAAAGGGTTTGCTCGCTGCGGGTTCAGATGCTCCCTCTGGTCTGGTCCTGTGGTTCTGGAGGCGCCTCCACCTGGAGGCAGGTTGCTGCTGGATCTGCTTAGGTTGTCGGGCCATAACCCTGCTTGTCACCCCTCCAATTCCCTGCAAACCCTGATACTGGTCCAGAGGAGAAGAGCCTTCCTCCGCCA